ATTGTGTATATAAAATTAAAGTTATATTTTATGTATTTTAAGAAATGCGATTAGAATGATTATTTTAAATATATAAATTGATCTCATTTGCTTCTCTGTTTGCTCTGTTTTTCAATGGTTATTAATCAAGGTCAAATACGATTATATTTAAAAGGGTTTAGTACGTGAACATGCTCCTTAAGGCTGTCAATGGTACCCTAGCAACTTTAATTTAGTCTTTAAAAAAATTTAACATTTAATTTTTATTAAATTTAATTTTTTATACATATAATTCTTCAAGCATTTAGAATCACCAACCCTTCAATTTATTTTATTTTATATATTTTAAAATAATAATTTTGTTTAATAGTTAAGTGTTTTTCTTAACTTTAAGGACCAAAATCACATACTTCAAATAATTAAAGATTAAATGTGTATAATCAAATAACATATAGACTAAAACCGCTATTTTCTCAAATTGAAATGTTTAGTTTCAGTTCAAATATATTAATTGAATTTAATTTATCTTTAAAATTTAATTAAATTAGTTTTCAAAAAGTAAAATGTAATAAATATTTTAAAATGAAACGAGTAATAAATACTTGTACATACACAAAATATAAGGACGAGTCAATTAATCAGTCACCATCTCTACTGCCCCTTTGGATAAATGCTTTGGACTTGCCTATTTAGGTTATAATTTTGATCCCCCAATTTTTCATATATATATATATATATATATATTTAAATATGTCACTTTTTATTTTAAATTTTAGAACATGTCTGTATATACATACAAAGAAAAATTATGATTGGAGTGTTTTACTATTTTTGTAAAGAAAAAGTATAATAGGAGTGCATTGAGAAAAAAAAAAGAAAGGAGAATGACATTTCCTCCGTCTCCATTTGTGTGACACTTTTCAAATTAAGGGCTTCTTCTCCTTCCTTCCACTTAAAGCATTATGGGCTTCTTCTTCTTCTTCTTTTTGTTGCTTTCATGATCAATCAACTTTAAAAGTTTGATTTAAATAATTTGATAGACGATAAATATGAACCATTTTAAGAGAATTATATATCAAACGACTTGAAACCTCGAGAGAATTTCTTATCTAAAATTTGGGATTGTTTAGAGAAAATTTTGAGTTGGTCGGAATTGAATAGTCAATGTACACTTTACGTATAGTCAATGTATACTTCATGTATAGATAAGTTATATTCCGCTTTTTGAGTGGATCATAATGTATAGTCAGCGTATTGCTCAAGTATTGGTAAGTTATATTCAGAGTGTATCATAATGTATAGTCGGTATATACCTTTTGTGATTTTTGACTTTTTTTTATAAATAAAAATAAGGAAAATTATGTAATCACACGACTTAAGATAATATAACCTCTAAAAAACCCTACCATTTGAATTAATTACAAAAATCTAATTTTTCCTTCTCTTTCTTTAAACATTCGGATACATCACTCCACCTCTATCAGCTACATTACAAATTTGTTTATGCATAATGTATATGGTATAGATGATATTGTTAATACACAAGCCCAATTATTTTAAACCTAAATTCGTATAAATTTGATTTATGTTATGTATCTGATACATAACTAGGTATCTAATACACAACTATGTGTTGGGCTACTTAACAATATACCCGTGAGTTCTGCAAAATTCAGGATTATTGTAATTTAAGAAACTATCAAAATAAGATATAATTAAAATCCAAATTAATGAAGTTTATGTATTTTATACTACTATGACTATATTTATTGTAAATTAATTATTTTATTATTTATATTTGAAACTTAGTCGAAGCCCGTATTCACGTGACAAGGATTCTGGATGAACCCAATTTAGAACTACAAAACATTTTGCATGGTTCCTTATATGAGATAAGGGTCAAAAACACACTTAAATTATCTTTTTTTTTAGTTTCATATCTAAACTATTGAGAGTTTACGTTAAACATATAACTAATTTAAAATTATCAAATTTATTTTATTTTTAAAAACTTCGTATTACATCAAATTAAAATAAATAAATAAAACGTCCGGAGGACTATTAAATAGATACATCATAAACAGGTATATGTGTTACACGAAGGACAACCTTAAATTAAAACTGTATGTAAAAAGTACGATTCCTATTTTTTTATAGTACGACTACTAGTTAATACAGTGAGATTTTATTTTCACTTTATACTTTCATCACATAATTAGGACCCTATTGTTTATGTCTTTGAGATAATGTGTTGTGTTAAATTAAGTTTTAGGCCTAACTCACACCTCAAAAGCTAGCTCAAATGAAGAAGGATTGTTCAGGCCTTATAAGAAGTCCAGTCATCTCATTAACCATCGATGTGGGACTTTTGTCATTCTTTAACACCCCACCTCACGCGGATTGAATTTAACTCGCAAATTTTTTAATCCGTTCTATATAATATTTTTTTTTTCATCTTCAACCTGCCTCACCCTACTCCGCATAGATCCGTTTCGCATGAACCAGCCCTGGATACTTTTTTTTAATATTTTCTTTTTCTAGTTAAGTTTGACACTAAAATTAAAATTCATAAAAAAAAATACATTTTTTCATTAAGTTGTATTATTTTAATAGGATAGTGACTTAAAATTTTATTTTTTAGAGGTCAATTGGGAAACATGTAAGAAATTGAATTTTTTTTATTGAACCATTTTCATTTAGTATCTTGAATATTTTAGTAGTTTTAAAGAAATTATCTTAATAAATAATGCTTTATTTTTAAATGTATATTTTAAAAATTAAAATATTTCATTTTTTATATAAATTTTATTTAATTTATTTTTAAAAACTTTTGAAAAATAAAATTTGACAAATATTTTTTAGACAGAGTAATAAATACTTATATGTACGGATAATATAATGATAATTCATTTAGCTACCATCTATACTGCCATTTGGATAAATGCTTGACAGATTCTTTAATAATTTTGTACCATCATATAGGAAAAAGGCATAAATACTCCATTATACTAAGCTCTAATTTTTAATTACACATTTTATTTTTTATTATTATGTCTTATTACTCCCTTAAACGATTTTGGAGTAGATTATTTACACCCTAAAGTTTTAGGTGGCATGCAATGTGTGTATTTCAGCCAAAAGAATTATAATTTTTTCGATAACGTTTCATCATATCAATTTCTCTTTAGTATCGATACGACTTGATTAAGATTAACACATAGAAGTTAAAACATGATATTACGCATGTATACTACCGTAGGACTTCGACAGAGATTTTTTTTTTCTTTTACTATTTCAAAAAGTGGTGAAATAAGAAAACATGATAGACATTCACCCGTTGTTTTATTGTAGTGTAAAACAAAGTTAAACAAAGACAGTCTAATCAGATGAGTGGAAAGAAGTTAATGAAGATGAAACTCAAGAATTATTAAAATTAAGTATTAGAAATTTAAATCATACAAAAAGAAATATACCTAATACCTTATTATAACCTGCTTCTCAAAATCGTTGAAATTTCTTATAGCTTACTACTCAAGATACTCTGTTATTGGGTGTACACAAGTAAACAATTAAATTTGTATAAAGTTAAACAAATAAAATACAAATACGTTCTACTAAGCATATACATATATGAAATTGCTACGTAGGACACCATGAACGTCATGATATATATAATAGGGAGATTTATATGATACTATTAAATTGCATTAATTTTTAGAGCTCCCCTTATAAGTTACCTGACCTTATTAAATGACAAGGTCAATTACATCAGTATTAGCAATAATTGTTTAACCCCTGGCCACAAGTTCTTTTTTTTTTTTTTACAAACAGATGCCAAACTCATCAATAAAAGGATCGACTGAAAAATGTCTTTCAATATTCTTAAAACGATTGTCAGTATATCCAACGTAATCTCAGCTAACATCTTTAAAGACAATAACTCAAAACATATTTAAATGATACATATCTAGAGGAGGTTGTTAGAGTTCACGTGAATTCATATTTTCTTCTCTAGATTATATATAATAGTGTTATATTTTTTAAAAATATTTAAATATAGGTGTAAACTCACATTTAAAATATGATATAATAAGATGATGATGATTGGATGTACCTTTTTAAGTGAGGATAGAAATTTAAATCTTATATTTTTATTTTTTTTAGTAACATCTCTCCAAGTGATTATCGGTACACTTTACATTTCAATTAATTTTTCTTTTCTTTTTTTTGCTTTAATCTTTCAAAATTTTCAAGTGTGATTGAAAATTTCTAAAAAAAAATTAGCACTTTAAATTTTTTATATAATTAAATCAAATGTGTATATTAAAATATAAAGAGATAAGTGTCAAAAACACACTTAAACTATTTTCTTTTTTTGAGTTTCATAGCTAAACTATCACTTATTAGTTTGAGAAACACACCTTAGTGGTATGTGTAATACACTCTCTTTTATTTGCAAAAACTTTGCCACATGACATTCCACATGATAAAATACTCCACATTGACAAAAATTAAAATTTTTTTATTAATATTAGTTAAAAAGAAAGACTAAAGTATTACCATCCCAATTTTTTTTAAATAATTTTTTTTTTAAAAAAGTAAAATTAAAATATATTCTCACCCCACTCCACCATCTCCTACCACCCCCCCACCCCCCAAAAAATCTCCCGTCCTTTTATTTTTCAAAATTCTTTTATAAAATATTTTTAAAAAAACCAGACCTAGATATGAAACTTTAAAAAAAAAAAGAAGATAATTTAGATGTGTTTTTTACTCTTATCTCAAATTTAATACTCGTAATATTATATATTTTGAACCTATAATTTTTTAAATTTAACGATTCAATGTTAAGAACTTAAAGATCAAAATGGACAAATTTATATCTTAGATGCATCTTTTCATAATAATACACCCATACTTCTGAAATTGTGAATACGTCTCTGATGCACTTGAAACATTATAATATGAAGTCATTGTAAGTTGAGTAAACCATGGAAGTGCATATGCAAAATTACCCAAGATTATGGTCATTCACCCATTAAAAAGCACTTTGATAAATAAGATACAAGTATGTCGCGCACATCAAAGCAAAAAATAGAAAGAAAAAAAAGTGCATAGATTTCAATTGGATACCCTTCTTCACCCCCCTTAAGCAAGATTAGTTCACGCATCTTCTGCAGAGTACTAACGCAAACTTGTCCCTTCGATACATTATATTGTTCGGAAAAGGTCCAAATATACCTTCATACTATGCGAAATTAAACATATTTTCCCTCTGTTAATACTTCAATTCACTAATGCCCTTACCGTCAAATACTTGGTCCAAAACATGTTGTGCAAGTCAAGCCATAAAATTCTCTCTTTAACCCCACACTCCTGCAACCTTCGGAGATATAAAGTTAGTAATAGAGAAGTGACTACAACAACATACCTAGTGTAATTCCACTAGTCGAATCTGAAGGTAGGATATATGCACATCTTACCCTTACCTTTGTGGCCGGGTAGAAAACTCTCGACTTAAAAAAGAAATTAAAGGGCTCTTTAGTCACAGTTAGCACCGATGAGGATGCAACAATTTACAAACAATGACGAGGCATTATGTTCTAATACAAAGCACTTAGATACAAGATCCAATTTTAACAGAAGTTCAAGAGTTTTCTTCCAAGTTCAAACACTCCTATAATTACAAAGTAAAAACTATATATTTTATCAAAAGAAAAGTCACCAAAGCAATGAACATGCATCTTTTGAATTGACAATTGCTCCAACTATATATAATTCGTTGTAAAATTTGAAGTAAGGTTTGGCTCTGATTTTGTGCACCTCAAGTCAATCAGCTGAGTCTTTTAGGTTGAACACCAGAAGTATGGGCCTCCTCAATACGTCTGGTAAGCAATGATATTCCATAATGTGAGGCAATTGAAGCAGCGTAATATGAAGTCATCGTAAGTTGAGAAAAAACTGGAATTGCATATCCTGTAATGCAAAATCTGGTCATTTACACATAGAAAATTGCTTTAATAAATAAGATTAAAGCATGGGAAAAGATCTTTGATTATTGTCATTAAAGTACTTTCCAGTGAATGTAAAATGAGTGGCTACTTTATTTTCCTTTAAGTGGCACTTTCCCATGAATTATTCCTACAAAATATTATACAGAGCCTAATTTTTTGATATACGAATTTCTATTTTTGAAAAATAAAGTGAAGAAATACTTCTTTGGGACAAGTAGGGGGGAGAGGGTCGGCTGGGCCTGTTTTTTCAATCAATCTCCAGCCGCTCGATGCCGAGCACATCTAAGAGAAAAATAGAAAAAGAAGTGCATGGATTTCAATTGGATACCCTTCTTCACCCACCCTAAGCAAGATCAGTTCAGCAGGCCAATTCACGCATCAAGTACTAGCGCCAGCCCTATGAGTTAACTTGTCCCCTGGATACAATCTATTGTTCTGGAAAAGTCCAAATAGACCCTCATACTATGCAAAATTGAGCATATTTTCCTTCTGTTTATACTTCAATTTACTTAAGCCCTTAGCATCAAATACTTGGTCCAAATACGCCCTTATTCTACCAATTGGACCAAGTATTTAACGATAAGGGCATAAGAGAACTAAAGTACTCTGCTCAATTTTGCATAGTATGAGGGTATATTTGGACCTTCTCTGTATACTGTTTAAACTTGGTACCAAGAATAAGTACGACAAAGCGATAACTAAAAAATTGAGTCTAGTAAAGTCAGATATGTCTAGAATTCTCCAAATTTAGAAGTATTTGAATCTTCGGATCCTTGATTGTCCCTGGAATGACACTACTGTCCATTGACCACACCTCTTATTCAAAAGCTCAAACATTTCTTATCGTGACAAGAAGATGCACATATCTTTAAGAAGACAATTAACCTTAGCGTAACAGTAAGCTTGCTCAACAATGATCTGAAACTAACAAGTTCGAATATATGACATGCATTCAACAAAATACGGGTACCAAAACATGTGCAATTTTCTTATAAGAAGAAAAACAGGTACCTAAACTGTAGAAGACAAATTTTGTGGACTACTCCACTTTTGGCATTGAGCTGTAAGGAAGGAAAAGGTACTTAAATTTATTATGTGCATAGATTGCAGTTTTTGTGGCTACTTAGTTCACATGATTTGAGAACGAACTTGTCAACCACATGACCACGAAAGTTACAGGAATGATGTAGCCTTTTCTTCTCTCCAAGAATTATTTCCAGGTGAGGCTCATCTACTTTTCCATTAAGTATCATAGCACTTCCTTAGTGCTGGTTTAGACATCAAGTCATTACTCATTACAACAACATTCCCAGTGTAGCTCCACATAGTGGGGTCTAGGGAGGGCAGAGTGTATGCAAACATTACCTCTACCTCAAGGTAGAGAGGCTGTTTCCAATAGACCTTACCTTCACTACAAAGTGAGGTTTAGACATAGTCATTCAAAAATAAAATAAAATGCACCCTGCTGAGCCCACATTATATTAGGACCACAATTACCTTATTTGGTCGATTAAGTTACATCTTTAAAATACAACAGATCAACACTAGAGAGGTTATTTCTGATATATGTGATAGTTAACTTCTCACTTGATGGAACATGAGAAATACAAGACCTTTAGAGAACTGGTGATCTCTCTCACCAAAAATATGTTATTTCCATCAAAAAAGTAACTGGAGTAAGGTTGAACATGAGCGAAAGCAGTTTTTCGTCAAGTTTAAAGAATCAAAGTGATTCTACTCTACGTATAGCAAGAAACAGATCAAGGGATGTCTTCTTGATTACAACATTCTTTTTGCATCCATTATAAATTCCGACTCCTTACAGGATATAGTTGAAAGCAATGTTCATTAGAAGTAGATAAGCAGGAGTGAAAATATCACCAACAATTATATAGTTACGTAAAACGGGAGATTATACATTAGTTTTTCCAAAATTACTCAAAATAATGATGGGATAAAGTGATATCCAATTATATTAAGATGGAGAAAGAAAACTAAAACAAAGATACCCAATATATATCCTAGCAAGTAATGATTGCATTAACCTTCAAATTACCAACTTTTAAGCATTAGTGCATAGGGAAGTATTGTTGCTGAGGGTTACTTATCAAAAAAAAAAAAGTTAATATGTTGAGTGTCATGGCAACTTTATCATCATAACATAACACGTGCTATGAAATTAGAACTTCACAGAATTACCTCCAAATGTCGCGCTAGCTGCAGAGAACATGAGTAGTGGAGGAAGCTGCAAGAACAAAACAAGGGGAAGGGTGAAGCTTTAGATAACACATCAATTGTATACTCAACTATACATAGATTTGAGTACAGCACAAAAATCAAGAATACAATGAATAGGAGGGAGAGAGGAAGACAAGAGTTTAAGATCAGAAAAGTGGATAAAGTGTCTACCCCTATAACAAATGGAAGCCACTTTGGACCTTTCACGTGTCTCTGGACGAAAGGAATTCCTGAAAAGTACTAGCGTTAAGACTTCAGCTATGAATTCATTAGATAAAAGAGAGGTAAGTAATTAGTTTAAGATTTAAACCACGATTTACTACAAGGAGAGTAATAAAATAAAGATAACAAAGATAAGCACAGAAGAGATGATTAATTAATCATGCCTGTATTGAAACCATGAATTGCACTGAGCAGTCCACCAATTCCAGAGCCAGCCTACACAAAGGTAAAGAATATTACTTTAACTAGTTGGTAAAAGCTCTTCATATTATGATTGCGCTATAACTCTGTTCACTATGGGTTTATTTTCCTTGTCCAACTGATTATAAAAATTATGATTAGTAAGATTTGGCAAATTTTAATCATAACAATAGATTTGGCTAGTTCGATCTTGCAGTTCAAATACCATTTGAAACAGGTAATATAGCATACTAACCACAACAGTGAAATCATGCAGAACAGGAGTAATTGCCCATTCTCCACTTTTCTGCAACCAAAATCAAACAGAACAGCTCAAATTACTAGCTAGGCATTTCATCAAGCATGTAATAGGCAAGATGAGTACAATTACAAAAACACAAAAAAAAAAAAAAAACGAGTAGAATATGATACATACTGAATTGGAGTTCAACAGAGAAAGACAACGAGGACATCTAGCAGAGCCGAGGCCAGGTTTGATTGTAGGATCATGATGGAGATTCCCTCTCTTCAGTTTTTCTTCATATACCTCTCGTGTTCCCATGTCAATTGAGGGAGGAGCAAAAAAAGAGAACCTTTCAGCTCATGTGTAGAACAACGATATAAGATGATTTGAGATTGGGCCTGCAATGGATGTTGGACTTGAGTTTTTGAGCTTATGGCCCAAAAGTTAGGAAAATAAAAAAGCATAATTTACATAAATCTCACAAGAGCTAATTACATTGTTTTCCTACTCTTTTTTAAATTACAAAAAAATTCTTAAAATTTATGGACTTTCGAATACATCACTGGACTTCCGAATACATAGGGGAGGGATGTATTCGAGAGGAAAGAAATTTACCAGAGAGAGGATAAGACATCCGGATGATATAATAAGATGTGTATATAGGTATTTTTCCAATAAAATAAGAGGAAACAACACAAAGTATAGTGGTATTGGTGCTAATTACACGTTGAAACAACAATTTTTATAATTATATTTCTAGGAAAAAAATTATTTAGGATACATGTATATCTCAGATAGGTAGGTCAAATTAGCTGGAATTTATTCTAGATACACTATATCCAAGCATGAAATGCATCTAGGATATATTGACTATCTCACTCTCCTCTCTTGCTTGCTTCTCTCTCTCTGCCTCTCTCCTTATGTATTTGTATTATAAAATCTATCTAAGTTTTACAAATTTATGTATACTAGATAAGTATCCCCGTGCTAAACACGGCCCCAACATTATAGTCTACATGTTTTAGCTCACACGAACAAGATAAATCTACGTCTGATTTAGAGAGAATAAAATGACTTTACAACAAATATAAAATATAATCACATTGAAATAACAATAATAAGAGATACAGAGAGAAAAAAGGAAATAAAATTACTTCAATCAACATTTTTAACTATAATGATGGGAAGAATCGTGATCTTGCTCAACTCTATATTTAAATCGACTCTGTAGAATCTAGATAACCAACAAATAAGATACAAAAATTAATTTTGAAGAATAAAACAATCTAAATATTATACATTCGCATACCCGTTTTCCAACACAACAATATCACACTTACTATCATGGTTGTTGTTGAACTTAAAGATATATTTATTTGACATATCTAACACCAAACCTTCAATGAAGAAGAAGATCATGTAGTATGTCAGCTTTGAGAGCATAAAATCTTGCAATAACATTACTTGGTAAAAGAAGGTAGGGCTTTAACTTTTAAATTATACTGTCATAGTAGAAATCTAAGTTGTGCCCATATGATGTCATTAATCAATATACACATCATTAGAATTTAGGAGAAAGAATCCATTTCACAATCATTGATATTTCAAGAATAAAATAACCACCTAAAATAATTTATAAAAGTAATTCCAAGAGAATTTTTTATTAACATGATGATTGTCATTTAACTCAAACCAATAGCCCCCTAAAAAGGCAACAACCGTGACAAATAAATATAAAAATTACATAGCATAGCAAATAATTTAAAAAAAAAAGATTTTAATAAGTATATCGAACCTTTGTGATCCTTGAAGAATGACACAACTCTTTCTAAGAGCTACACAATCCAAGGCCTTCCATCTGCATATATCAAATGAACACTTTAATAATTATAATAGACATAAGAGATAAACATAAGAAATTGAAGGATCAAATATAGACAAATCAAATCTCCCTTAACTGAAGCACTTTACGACTTCATATAGTATAATTTTTATATTATCACAAAAAAAGTGAAGAGCAGATCATGTAATTCTTATCTGTTAGTGAAAGCTTTAGTGATCATTTCTCTATGACTAATAAAAGCATGCTAACTAAATCCTCTATAAAATTTGTTCTTAACTGATAATCATTTTACGATTCAAAATGACTTACGGATACAAATCATACAATCAAGAATGACCATATATTGATTATTTACCATCACTTTCTTCTTATATTAGGCAGTGATTGCAATCACAGTGGCACAAGAGGTAAGATATAGCTAAAAGGGAAGCAATAAGTTCGACGTCAAATTACAACAATTTTTCATTATGTTACATTCTTTTGAACTTAATCTTTACTAAAAATTAGTAGAAAACGTATATAAGAATTTAAGTAGGTAAACAAACTCAAAGATATAAGAAAAAAAAAATAGTTGAAGTAAACAATATAGCCTCAAAATAAATCAAATATTTAATTCACTAACCATATTGACATAAAATTACTACAAGGAATGGTCTTGAAAAATTGGCTCCGAGGTTAATGATTCTCTTTTTGAGTACCCTTGCCTTCGCAATGGTTCACAAGAGGAGTGCAGAATCTCAATTCTCCATTTGGTCTCTGTCAAAACTATAAAAAAAAATGATTTTACTGTCCCATGTGTTCTGTACCTAAATGATTTTCTTCCATAAAACTTCAAAGCTAGATATAATTTAAAATTTGATAAAATTCAAATGATTTTAAAGTGTGGTGCAACTGGAAAATCTATGAACAAAACAAGTAAAAATATGATGTTCAACATGGAGATCTCAGATCAGCATAAAATTAAGAGTGACTGACACTTGGTATTTCAAATCCAGGGTGAGGAATATATAAAAGCAACTCTATAAAACATGTAGATACGACATCGGAGGACTGAAGAATGAAAATCTCCAAGGAAAAAGTTTTTAAAACTCATATGAACAGATAAATGAAACATCAAAACAGGAAAAGAATAGCGAGTAGCAAAAGAAGACAGACTCTTGGAACATTTTCCTAACGACATGATCTTGTTGACTCTCTCGTCAAATATTTTTTATGACCAAAATATTTTCAAGATAATGGATTTATCACTGTTGTTCTTCACTTAAATGTAAAATTTGGTCTAGCAGTCAAGTTTCAAACTTGTGATACAGCTAGCACATCTTTGTGTTCCACATAGCACAACATTTACTGTTAAACCAAACCCCTAGAACATGAGGATTCTCTTGGCGCTCACCAACCGCTTATTAAAATTTAATAAAATTCATAGATACTCTTTTTTATAGCTCAACTAATTCAGTGAAGGACAAACAATCCCTTGGTCCCAAATAACAAGGTAACTTCTACTCTTACAGGTCAAGAAAAACACTGGCAGATATTAGACAGTAATTTATTCAGGTCACATGGTATGACTTTCTCCTACGTGCTAATTGTGTTTGAAAACATAGAGTACAGTAGATGTCGTGCTTATTCCACACAACTTAAGCTAGCCATTTATAATTGTGGCGGACAATTGTTTTTGAGAAAAAAATACTATGCCACATCTTTTAGTTATGTTTTCCTATTCAATATTTTAGCTTTTACTTCCTTTAATCTTATTCTTTTTGCTTCCCAAGAGTCGAAACAATGGACAATAGAACCATTTGGAATAGATTGAAATGGTACTTTCCAAATGTTCAACTTCTATTTATCAAATAGGACTTCATCTGTGACATATTTAAACAATTGTTTAAAGCCTAAATAGCCTAAACTATAAATGGACCTCTGTGAGCTTCTAAAATATTTTTTAGTCATGGCTAGTAGCCCTGTTGATCCTATTCATATGATTTGCCATAATGAAATTGCAATATCTAAATAGTGATGGGGCAGGAGTCACCTCTAAAACTTAGTGGTAAATGTGACGGCTTCTTCATATGATATTCCAGTAATTCAAATCCAAAAGTGGAGACAAAGGTTTCAATCCTCAAAATTTCACAAGAATATAGTTTTAAGTCATCATCTTAATGAAAATTTGAATATATAACACAAATATCATAAGAGGAATAAAGAAAAAAATTATACTTAAAAGGAACAAGGAAAAAAAGTACCTTGCTATTGTTTTTCAGAAAATATGACAGAATATTCCTGGATCCAATTCTATATACTTCCCAGTTCACAATCATAAGGATCACAAGTTTTAAGTGTTTATTGAATCAACAACGCCTACAAAGAGAGCAAAAATTAACTGTTAAGAGAAGCTGAAAATAGCAAGGAAACTGTATGTAATGTATATGTTTCTCTGTTTTCAACTTAATTGACAGAATGGAAAAGTTAGATTGGAACTTTCTGTCAACAATGACATTAAAAATAACAAGGAAATCGTATCAAATCTACAAAGGAATTTTCTTCAAGCCAAATTTTATTTTTTTTCCTTCTCTTCATAGGTAGAGAAATTTCATCATGGAACAACAACACTCAAAGAAATTCAACAGTGAAATTGAAAAATGAAAATTGTAAGAAATATAAGTATAGATAGAGTTAAAATATTCTTCAAAGTGAATAAGAAGAATCGAAGGCTATTATTCTTTTTTCTTTTTTTTTTGGTTAAAATTAGAGGTAGTGGTAGGGAAAGGGAAAATGCGAAGGGGATTACAATGCGGAGAATCAAACCGTCACCAACAAGGCAGAGTTCAGGTAGTCAACAAAAACCAATTGAGCTACTAAGCTTCCACAAATTGAAGGGCTATTTTGTTTCAGCAAGAGTCGATATCTCTGCTTCGAAGAAGAAGGATGTTTTAAGATCACAAGGTTAAAATAAATTTAATGAATGAGAAAAGATTTTTTTGCCCGTGGATTCACTTATTATGCAACTCACATTAACATACAAATTGGTAGTAAAATAATTGAGAATATACCCAGTTTGAGCACAAAGTAGTATTTTGAATTGGAGCTTTTATTTAGAAAAATAATGGCCAAAAGAGTTACTATCTACATTATTTGGCAGACCTCTCCAATTCATTATATTTATTAGACAACAATCAAGATAGATGAAGCTCAAATGACACTTCTAAGAACAGAACAATCTCCGCTAGATCGGCAATTTCTTCTTAGGAATCACTATATTATTAGCCAAGAATTAGTATATAGGTTATGGATTCTTCTCAGGAACAATAACTTATGTCACACAAAATAACAGGGCATCAAAATTATACTTTTTGAAACAATCTTCTTTATTAAATTTATTGACTTAAAAATAAATAGCAATAGATGAGATAATCAAAAAACCTTATATCACCCCCACAAAGTACAAAAAGACTTGTACAATTACCAAATGAAGCTTTAATAGTACAGTTGACTTAGCTAAAATATCAATAATGCATAATTACCATTTTACCCTTGCATAATAACATAATTGCTAATTTGCCATTGGTCGTCCCATGGTTCATGTTTCTATATAATAGAAATTTGCATCGAGTATCAATTTCATTCCATGTATCTAATGTCAATTTCATCAATGTATTTGGTATAAAAAAAATTAGTGTATTTGGGTCGTAGCCATGTTGTTTTAATGATGATGTTGTTTGAATCCAATCAAAGAGAGAGATTTGTTGGCTTTATGCGGCGGATCGAATCTCTCTCGCAGAAAAGGGGGGAGAGAGAAAATAAGGGAGATAAGAAAGTGGAGAGAAATGTGGTGGGGGGGGGGGGATTGACTATATTATTGTTGTTGATGAGAAAGACATTGTACTCAATAACAACATCATTAGTTTTAATCAAGACGTCAAAAATGTGTGTCTCTGTCGGAGCATAAACATTAGACATATCCTCAACACTTAGATATGACCATATTCCTACTTGAAACACTTAACTTTGAAATTCTGATAAAGGACTTGATTTGAAATTATTTCGCCAATAGAGAATAAAGAGTAGTATCACTAGTTGTGACAAAAAAAACAAGAGCCTTTAGAGAACATAAATACAATCAAAGAGGAAAATATCAATTTCGCTAACAATAAGCATTTTGTAAACACTATACATAATATATTCCTACCTAGAATTGAACAAGTACAAAGTCATGTTAATGTGTTAAAGTTTATGAGTTATCCCACATATATTTATGATGAAATTTGAAATCATGACAATTCAATACAATTTTGTAAGTTATCCTGTCGATTTGTCATGACTTGCACAACATAAAGGTGCTATATTTCAAATATTTTTATTAAACTTAATAAAGGGCTATTTCTGCACAAATATCTTACTCTAATTCCAGCTGATGAAGCCCAAATTGTCCTTCTCAGTCCATATTGCTAAAAGCCCATATTTTATCGGCCCATTCCCGATCTAAAACCCTAGAAGCTCTATACATATATACAATGTGCTCTATATTTATCTTACGCTAGGGTTTCAGTCGTTCTCTCTCTCTTTTCACAAGCACCTACAGCGAGAGCAGAAGAAGAAAATGCCGGCCGGTCATGGTTTGAGGTCTCGAACGAGAGATTCATTCTCTCGTGCTTTCAGGAAGAAGGGTACCATCGCACTTTCAACCTACTTGAGGATTTTCAAAATCGGAGATTATGTTGATATCAAGGTGAATGGTGCTATTCACAAGGGAATGCCTCACAAGTTCTACCATGGACGTACTGGTCGTGTTTGGAATGTTACCAAACGTGCCGTTGGTGTTGAAGTCAACAAGCAGGTCCTTCCTCTCTCATTCACTTCACACACAATTAAACTTTATTTTTGAGCAATTTTTGTATGATTATATTGTGAATAGGTGCTATTACTTTGTCTGTTTTGTTTTTGTTGATTGGATTTATTAGGTTTAGGTAGGTGTAATTGGTTTAGGTGTAGAGATCTAGCATTTACTCATTTTGCCTTGCCGTGAATGTCTGCTTATATTAGTAACTGCTTGGATTTGTTGATTTGATTCATAAAATTATGATGTTATTGCTAGTTCTTGTAAAAAGATATGGTATCTCCTGATTTTCCTTTGCTCATTCATTGTGGTGAATATTTGTTCTAACTTTTTGCTTAGTATTGGCGGATTAGTTCCTTTTTGTGAATGTCTGCTTAAGATTTGTTGATTAGATTTATAGGTCGAGACATTTAATGCTTGTTTCTGTTGAGATATATGGTATCTTCTCATTTTGCCCTTGCTCGTTGTTCCTTGTCTGTTTAGTATTTGCTGATTGAATTCGTAGGTTCAGATAGAGATATATGTTGTCTTCTTTGCTCGTTGTTCAGTATTTGCTGATTGGATTCGTATGTTTAGATAGTAATAGATAGTTCATGTAAAGAGTGCCGCGGTACTCTCAGTTTGCTGTTCTTCATTCATGTTATTGACACTATATTTTTAAGTAACTAGCTATGTCAATCCGTTTGCATATATGTTTTCTTTTGGTTTTAATGCAATAGCTGCAGTGTTAGAGCTAGGAATTTATACATGGGGATTCAAAGAAAATACTCGACTGTGACACATAGGTGCTAACCGGTTGCTTGAAGCAATGCTTGAATCCCCTTTGTCATGACACTAGAATCTTCCCTTATGTTGAGAAGATTCAGTATGTCATCATTTAACCCAAGCATTTATTTGATCTGTACAATTTTTTTTGGCAAAAAGTGTGTTTGTTGTGTTGTAAATACTTGTCATGAATTAATGGAGTAGTTAGAGTTCTGCAGGGTAAGTTTCTTTTATTAAGTTAAATTTAGCGTAATGGACCTTAGTGAGAATGTATATTGGTTTAAAATAATCCTCAATTGTATTTTTGATCAATAATGGGATGTCATTTTGGAAGTTGGGGAACAAAAATTTCTGAACAAGTTCTTATTTTATTGTATTATTCAATATTGAGTTGATTTGTGGTTTATACAACTTCATGCATAGACCAGATTAAAGACATTGACTTCATGTTTATTGGGCTTTCTCTTATTCCTTCTTACTCTTTGAATGATATTTGACACATTCTTAGAATTAAAAAATGATGTGTTTTTGTTATTTCTTCAAAACACTGCTGTTATTTCCCTTATATGCGTGCAATAGTAGGATACTGATTGAATTATCAAAGACATTATAATCTATATTGGAGTTTTAACTGTTTTTTCACATCCTTGATGAGAAAGGCTTGTTGCTGAAGGTCTCTTTTAGTGTGTTTGCTTGTGTTGTTCCTTTCTCATAGATGTTTGTGCTGTATGTCAATCTGACTCCTTTTTGTTCTGTTTCTCAGGTTCGTAACAAGATCTTAAGAAAGAGGATCCATGTGAGGATTGAGCATGTCCAGCAATCTCGATGCACTGAAGAAGTCAGGGAAAGGATTAAGAAGAATGATCAACTAAAGGCTGATGCCAAGGCTAGAGGAGAAATCATCAGCACAAAAAGACAACCACTCGGACCCAAACCAGGGTTTATGGTTGGAGGTGCTACTTTGGAGACAGTTACCCCCATACCATATGATGTGGTTAATGATTTGAAGGGAGGTTATTGATCTTAGTCTGTTTCTGAGAGGTGTTGTTTTTTTCTATTTGCGTTTCTGAAATTGAAAGACAGAATTAGTTTTGTTGGTGTCAACTCCAGACATTGCTTGTTAGTTAAATTTTGTTTACATTGCCATTAGAGGCCTTTGTTGAACTTTTACTACAAAAGTGAAGTCAAGTATGTCTATCTATTGCCCAAATTCCTTGCATTTTAAGATGATTTTTTTATACTGCTGTATTCTTTAGCAATTTGATGATGCATATGCTTTTCGGAGAAATGGTATGTGAAATTACTTGAGAATCACGAGGTGTTGGGTTTAACTTTGATGGACAGAGTTACCCATAAGTTCTATTTAGTATACACTCAAATGAGTAATATTATTCGTTGGGCTTTTGTTTGTTGGGTCTCTAAGGAGATTATTAGTTATAAATTGTGTAACCTTTAAGATAATCAAGTAATTATACACTGTACATGTCCAATTTGTTGTTCTGATTCAATTTTTGGATTCGTTGAAATATTTGATTATTATTTTATGATTCTGCAAAATCTGAAGGAAAAATCAACGATCTGTTAGGGTTGATATTTTTCCATTACCATTATTGTGAAAGCACGTCTAAGATAGTTAATCTGGGGCAACTTATTTTGTGACCACCCATAATTGTCTAACAATATTGAGACTAATTCATGAATTATAAATTATTAATCGAACCATATTTGATGGTCAGTAACTCAGTATCAAGAAAAAACAATGGATTCAATTGAACCCATCCTTATAATGCTAGATTTAGCAACGTTCATTATATTTCTTGGTCGATAATTAAACATTTGCAGTACGATTTCAACGTGTATTGTAGATTCTACCGCATAATGAGCTAGTCGGGTTAAAAAGTTTTGCTCCCTATATACATATCGAATGTGTCTGTTATTCAACGTGTGTTTTTTGGGGAAGAGAAATTGGGGGAGGGGATTATAATGCGGGGAATCGAATTCTCACCAACAAGGTGGAAGTTTAGGTAATGCAGTGTTGATGAACATGAACTAGATTGTTTTGGTTTACCAAAATGTTTCAGTTACGAGTATTCCAAATGTTCCATGTGAAAAAAGGCATTAGGATTTTGTCTTTTTAATTGCCGTAGGCATGTTATCCATATGTCATGCATGCCAAAATTTAGTCTTGGCTACATTTCTAACTTGTATTTTGGCCTTCTTTGTTTTATTTATGATGTATGTATTTGGCATATTTATATTGGAACTCTAATTAGTTTGGTTTTATGCATGTAGGTCCATTTAAAGAAGAAGTGTTTATTATCGATTTGTTTTCCTATACAATACATAAATCTAAAACATCTGATTAAGAGTGAAGAAATTCTATTCATTCCATTACAATTTTTCATGGACATATATTTTGGTTCGACAAAAAGCTCCAATGGCATTTTTCTTTAATATTTTTTGAAAATCAAATGGATCATCCACATCTATAAACATAATAATAAGATAATGACTATGCTAACAATTAATAATTGTCGATTTCGAATGCCTATTTGATTATCGAGGTATGAATAAAATGAAGATTCAAGTTTTAGCACTTCCGTTAACATGAGTAAAATGAGAGTAAATAGTACTCAAATATAGGTAAGCTATTAAGCATAGATTTTATAATAATTAATATGAAATATGTATGAAAAATGCATGTCTATTCATATAAAGATGAACGAGTTTTTAAATTTTCAATTGTTCAATGAATCAAGCAAACTAAATGATTCAAATAATCTAATTAATTAAAAAAATTATTCAAACAATCATAATAGTAATAAAATCTCTCAACACATATATATATTTAATAAATTTATTTATTTGTTGTTACGAACACTCACAATACATGTATAC